CATCGAAGTTCCTTCCCAGTTATTTTAGGGCTGTTCACATGCTGATCGAGCAATACCGATTGCCCAGTCAGTCAACTATTGACACATTATCTGCCACTCGGCTCACGCACTACAGCCGCAGCACTGACCACTGACCATTATTGACTCAATACCCAATGCAGGCGCATTGCGTATACGCCATGTGGCTCAAATCGAAAACCGAACGACGCAACTCGCAACTTGCCACTTGACATGCGCACGTCTTTTTGGCCGCGTGCTCTCGCCTCGACGTCTGTTATTGGACTGAAAGCCAGAAAACTTGTCAGAGGCTGTGGCTGTTGGCCAACTGAAAGCGTTAACATGCGCTCGCCAGCAACAGCTGCTCTGTTAACCGGATTGAGTGCCTCACTGGCCCATTCATTCATAATTGTTTTGAGTGAAATTGTGTGTCGGCCTGATGTTTATTTTTGCTTTAAGGGAATACAGAGAAAACAAAAAGAGGAAAGGAATTTTATACATAATTAAGTGTTTATTTTTATACAAGATTGGAAGGCTAAAAAGAGTTACTTTATTTTCTTACTTACTTCACAGTTTAGTGTTATATTAAGAGTCATTGAATTTTTATATTAATAAATTTTAAAAAATGTTTGGAATTCCTTATATATTCTCTATAAATCATGATAAAAAAGACTTTGACGAAAATTAAAAATTATTTTTAAGTGTTGTAGACCTTTAAAAAATGATTAGCATTTACTAGGCTCTAATAAAATGTGTGTTTAAATTATGAAATATATTTACTAAGCTCTTAAAAATTGTGGTTAATATTGTAAAAACATTTTTGCATTTCATAAATATTCCTTCATTTATATAAGTACTGAAATTGGCCAATATGTAGATAAGTTATGATCATAAAAGGCCTTGGATTAGAAATTGGAAAGCCAAAAAGGCCATGCAAAACTGGGAATGGTAATGTAACTGATATGGTTATGTACTTTTTTTTCGCTGTGCCAGATTGTTTGGCTCGCAGGACGGAAAATCAATTTGGCTAAGTCAAATGCGCCGCTGGGGAGCAACTGAGTTAGCGTCATTCCCGCCACGTGCCTCGCAAATGTTAATGAGCCTGCGTGCCATAGCCTTTATTTTTATTATGCCCCACTACGATTTCTATGAATACATGGCCTTACGCACTTATATATGCAAAAATAACACAAAAAAAAAAAGGGAAATGTTGACCTTTCCCGCGCTGTCAATGCTGCTGGCCAGAAAAGCAAAAAAAAGCATAACAAACAAATGCGCGTGAAATGTCAAAATCACTGTCTGCCAGGCAGTGGAAAAGTGGAAAATGGGAAAAGCAAGTGGAAACTGCGAAAGAAAGATGACGACGCATAAGCGAAAAACAAGCAGAATGCTAAGGGCGAGGCAATCAAGAAAAATTCCTCCAACAAATGGCATGGCAAATACAAACAGCAGCAACAACCATAGAAAATTCAAGTGGTTGCATGTGGGGTTTTCCTGGGGTTTTCCGGGGGTTTTCATTGGATCCCGAGCACGAGTTGATGATGAGGTGGCCCATAAACACACACATGCTGCCCACCAGAAGACTTAACAAGACTCAAGTGAATTATAAAAAGTAAATGCTCCAACGAATCCGACTCTTTGATACCCGATATGCTTCTATTTTCAACGCTGTAAATGTCTCTATATTAAAGATTGGTTTTTGTTATCCGACTTTGTCCTTACTTAATAAAAATGTATACGTGTTTTAAGCGATTTATAAGAAGGAAATCCTCAGATTAATAAATATTTAGTTATGTGATATAAGATAACTAGACCTCCAAGTAAACTTTCCATAAAATTGAGTATTTAAGTTTTTATTTTCAGATGTCTGTTATAACTATAAAGATTTGTTTTCTAATAAGCGATTTATAAAAGCCATAAATTGTTCGACACACAAAACTTAAACATTACAAATAAATGTCTTATCAAAAAGAATTAAAAGTCTCTTAAGTAAACATGCTATAAATTTATTAAATAATTATTATTTGTATATATCTGTTATTAACCGAAAAATAAGTACCTCTAATTGTAATTTCTTGGCACAGCTAAGATTTATAAAAGCTACGGCTAAAATTGAATTACAATCAGGTTGCAAAAGTTTGCGGCTTAGGTAAAGAGATTAAACTTAGCTCAAGTAAAGCTCATGCGATCCATATAGTTTTCTCTGAAAAAAGTAACCCCCTAAGTAAAGATTAAACCAGCGAAATGGTGTAAATGCACTTTAAAAACGAATAAAAAAGTTATTGATAGTAAACGCACGCACAGCTTAAACCCGGAGTGTTATTTGGCTGGAGTCCAGTCGAGAAGTGGCTGAATGCTGTGTTTTTTTTAAACTGCAGCTCCTGCAGTTCCTGGCCAACTGCTTGTGGGCTAGAACAGTATGTTCAACATGCTTTTTTCCCTGCTCTATTTTTTATCTTTTGCAACCGCTGGTAACTTGTGTGCGGTTTTGTTTGGCCTTCGTTTTATCGTGTGTGGCCAACAGTCTGTGTGTGCTGACAATTTTGTGCATAACGCCGGGAAGCTAGATACCAAATGTCCGAGGCTTAGAGCAACAAACTCGGAATTAGCCGCAAGAATTAGACCTCCTGCAGTGCCACATGTGGCAAGGGAAATTGCTGCGACTTACAACTTGCAACTGTAGCCACAATATGCCAATTTGTAATCACCCCCAGCACACACACAAAAAGTACACTCTCTAGCTGAAAAGTAATGTTTAACCTTTGCGGTATTCGGTTCCATTAAGAGCTACTTTTTAATTAGTTAAAGTTTATCGGAAAATTTGCATGTGCAAACTTTTGCTTGGTGCAACGCTGCGTATGCTTAACTTTTTTCGTATATATGTGAATTGCATTGTGTGTGCAGAAATCAATGAGATTTTCCTTTCAAAACGGAAAACAATAAAGTAAGTAAGTAGAACTTACTCGCTTGAAATAACAATGAAATAAAACGAAGGCTTAGCAAATGGCTGAAAGGCTGTCACAAGACAGATATTTTTGTTATTTTTGCCACTGGAGTGCATCATTAAAAGGGGATCTATTTGAGCAAGGACGCATAACAATGCAGCAGCCGAAATCTTTCTGTTTCAGCCAAAGTCCAAAGTCCAAGTTAGCCTTGGCTTTTTGGCCATAAGTCCCAGTTAATTGCATGCAATTCGGCAAGTTAAAGCCAATGGTTCTTGAGATGCTTTGCATTTAGATGGGGGATATTTTTCCTTATATATACACTGCTTATATGGGTGCTGCTAGATCCAAAAATGTAAATGCGATGCAGGCGACGAAAATACGCTCCACTGCACTCCCTCTTCATTTTAGTTTCGGGGGTTTTATTTTATTTTCGCTTTTTTTGGTCCAAAACACTAATGAGCATTTAAGCCTGCGGCTTGGGCAGAACCTCGTTTTTATATTTTTTTTCCTCTACTACTACTGCTGCTGTTGCATTTGCATAAATTGAAATTTTCAAATAAAGTTGTGCTTTTTAATTTAATTGATTTGCATTTTAAATGAATTTCCAGCTAAAGCATCCCTAATTTTTCGTGTAATTCGCTTTTCATACATAGTTTTCATTTGGCAGCCAGTACCAAACAAATCCCCCAGTGCTTTTGCTTTTGATTTTTTGATTAGTTTTTCATTGATTTATGGGGATGTTTTATTGAATTCACACCCACTCTTTAATCAGCTCCCTTCGTTCTTGCCAATTTTAGTCTTGTTTTTCTCTGTTTGCCTGTATCTCATTCTGGGTCATTTAATGCGTATACGCAATATCTGTTGGAATTTCTTGGTAGCTTGGTAGCCGCAACAACGGAAGCGGTAAACCAAACATAAAAACAAACGGCCCTCTTAATCGTGTGTATAAATGTTTATGCCCCAGAGTGTGTTGGCATAGTTTTATGTCTCAATCGAAGCGTTTGCCAGGCAAATAAAAATAATCAGCAAGTCAATATCCCAAAAGGGCAGCGGAAGAAACGCTTAAATCTTCTACAAGTCTATTTTCGGGTCACTTCATTATCGAGTTTGTTTTCCTGATGATGATGAAGTGGTTCGCTTGGGGGAATAAATCCCATGAATGATCCATGATGGCTAAATAATGGAAAAGCGTTTAGTTAATTGTGCAGCATCACACTCACAGGGGAAACGTTTAATATTGATTGCGACACGTGCGAAAATCGAATTATGCCGGCATATTTCACTCGATTATTTCGGTCTCTCAATCAATTACCAACCTGCTAAGGTGTCAAATACGTTTTTATTATTAAATGCCAGTGCTGGATTTCTAGGCCGTTTTCATACAAAATTTTTTAAATGCTTTTGGTAGTGATTTATTGCAACATTTATGTGCAATAGTTATTTTTGCCGTTTATAATGCTACTTTCAGAGCTCAATAAATAAATATATTTGTTAGTTACCATTTCACTTGAATTGTATCTATTAATCAAGAAATTGGCCATGGATTTATGGATTTTAAAAATATATATATAAATATATTCGACCCAAACTTTAATCTCTTAATAGCCAACTTTTTTAACTTTATTCACTTTAAAATTTGTATCCAAAAAAATTGTTAAATGTGAAAGACTGGAATCCGTTTTATTAGGAACTTGTTAAATACAATCATTTGTTGATATTTTATATCAACAAGTAATTTAAAACAAATTTTTTGTGGATTTAGTTGATTGAGAAAACTAATTATTTTTGTTGAGACTTTTGCTCTCTATAATTAATATATACTTAAAAATCTAAAATGAATTAAATTATTTCTTATTGTAATTATTATTATTTGTTACGAATTTACAATTTAAAAGCCTGAATCATTTGCCTAATAAGCAAAAAAAGTTTCAGTTCCACTGTTCCATATTCAACGAGTACGTTTGTTTTGCGCCGATCTGGCAACGTCGAACTAGCCGCGTGCTTTCTTAATTTTCTTATTGTCTGCATTTCCCTTTAAAAATAAATTAATATAACTAAGTATTCCAGTGGTTTTTTGTGTTTTTCTTACTATCCCAACCATGATGTCCGAAGTGCTGCATCGATCCGTTTCCATTGGGAGTAGAAGTAAGTAATATAATAACGATTTCTTAAAAATCGACTGGCTAACTGCCAACTAATTTTATAGGAGCCCCCGATCCGGTCGACCAATTCCTGGAGCAGCACCTTCTCTACCGGAAGCACATGGTGATGGACCCCTCGTGCTTATTCCGCGTGATCGCCGAGCAGGTCTATGACAACCAGATGCTGCACCACGAGGTCCGCATGGAGTGCGTTCGCTACATGTTCCGGAAAAGGCGCAGTTTCCGGCGATTTGTGAGTGGCGACTATGACGAGTATCTGTGGCAGCTGGAGATGGCCAGGACGGCGGGCACCATGCTGGAGCTGCGCGCCCTGGGCCACCTTTACCGTCGGAACATCATTATCTACAAACCCTTCGATCTGGGCCATCTGGTCATCCAGCGCAAGGGCTACCCAGAGACCCTAAGGATCTTTGTTGGCAACCGCGGGCAATTTGACTCCGTGCTTGAGAAGTCGGAGATCGAGATGGCCGCCATTGCCCAGGCCGTGGCCTTCAAGATGCTCTACAAGCATTTCTTCCGCCTGCCGGACATCGATCTTGCCGTGGAATGGATGCTCTATCCGCAGACTTTTAGATGGGGCACCGACTTGGAGTTCGATCCTTGCGGCAATGTCATCCGTTTGCTCTGCAGCAATGGTCGCAGTTTCACGCTGGATCGCCCCGAGAACACCAGTTGTATCCTGGCCAACTATCAGGACTGCCCGTTCCATAATCCCTGCATAAAGATTGGCCGTTTCATGATGTCCTGCATGCGGCGTCTTCTCGAGCGAAGACGCGCACCCATCACCTATATGACAGCCAAGTCCCTGGATCCCTATATCTATCGCAACGTGGAGCTTAATTGCCTGAAGGATCTTCGCGAAGCGAATAATTCCGATGTCTATAAAGGCGACTATGACTTCAAGGTGGGAGCCAAGTGCCAGGTGGAGTTAGAGGCCAGCCGGCGGCTTAGTGTTTGCCATATCCAGGCCATCAATGAAGATAAATCCTCCTGTCTGGTGTTTGTCGAGGGGCAGGGCAAATTTCAAGACGTGCCGTATAGGAATCTACATCCTATGCCGCCAAACGAATTTCAACCTTGGGATTGTCAGCCCAAGGAGCGGATCAGCCGAAATCGGCGCTACCAGTTGAGACGCATAGCGAGGCAGAGGCAAAAAGCGGCCAATCCGCAGGTGCAAGGACAAATAAATCATCGCCAAAACTTCAAAAAGGCTGCCCCAGGTCCCAAAAAGCTGTCTCACCCGACTCCGCCTGTTAAATGTCATCAAGTTGAATCTCGGCCTGACCAACAGATTGCTACGGCTCCGGCTGTCCCTCAGTTATCCACGCCTCCACCGCAGGCCATTGCCCGCCCGGTTTTTCTACCGGCTCCACCGCCCCTTTTTGGCCCTCTTGGACCAAAACTGATAATTCGTCCTCCCGTGCCAATCTTCTTCGTTACACCACCACGAGCTGAAGCTCCAACAGGCCTGATGGCGCTTCCTTTTGTTGTTCGCAACTCTTCCGTGATGATCAATTCGGTTAATAAGCCCAACCCGCCTCCTACATAGTTTCATCCAATTTTTTTTATAATGTTTGCATTTTTTTTCATTCTTCTAGAGTTATAAAACTGATAAATAATTAATTTTAATCTGAAAAAAATATCTTGTTTATTATTGTTCTTCAATAAAAAATTTGTAAACGTACATGCATTTGAGTGTTTATTTTTGAAATATTTTAAATATCCATTTTCCTTTTCCAAAGTCACAAAAATATTTATTTTACTTTGTGTTTGCAGCTCTTTGTAAATGTATTACTAATTGGATTAAGTATATTTACTCTATTTCTAAACTATGTAAGTTTTAAACTTTGAAATCAACTTAACTACCTACTCATAAATTAAATTTAAAATGTTTTTCAGTTTAATTAAGTTCGTCTCCGGAGGTTGCCTCCACAGCGGATCGCAATTCTCCGGACAATCGACTCTGCAGATTCTTGTTGATATTGTCCACCATGTCGAAGGCATCTATGATCATCTGGGCCTCGCCCTGAGCCTTTTCACTCATCTGCTCCAGACTTTGGCGCAGCTCCTTGTGCTCCCCAGTCGCATCCCGCTGCTCCGCCTTCTGATACAAGCTGGTGCGTGAGAAGAGGGCGGTGGAAGTGCCGTGATCCGGCTGCTTCTCCAGTTCCTCGGGCAGGGGAAATTCCATTTCAAAAGAGAATCTTCTCAACTCCTCGAACTTGGCTTCCTGGGTCTCTTTATCTGGACCATAGCTAATAACCACCGCCTGCAGGACAATGTCGCTGCCGGGAAGTTGCATGTAGGCAATCACATCCTTGAAGAGATTCTCTTTGCGCCACACGGTTTGGCGGTACTGCACCACCTGGTAGACCACCATCTCCGGCTCGGGACTGTATTGCACCAGCATCCAGGTGTCATCGGTCATGGCCTCCGTTTCAGCTCCCAAATTATCATCGAAGGCGAGATCAAAGCTGCGTGCTTTCAGGTGCAGCAGAATCTTCTCCATGTAATCGCGACTTTCGTAGGCATACAGGACATGGGCAATGCATCCGGGAGCCAGGCTCACCAGGGGATTACCCTTCAGCTCGGGCTTCGTGCTTATCCACATCACATTGTTCGGGGAGACCAGTTTCTGCACCAGACGCTCGCCCGACTTCTCGTTGTCGGTGTACTGGACCAACAACTGCTGGGCATTGGCATCCTCGCGCTCCACCTTGCTCATGGAAAGCAGGGCAGCATCGACCAGGCGCCTCTCATCGGCGGCCAGGATGAGTTTGGCCTCCAGCACCATTCCATTGACCCGGAACTCCACAAAACGGGTCATGTATTTGTCTGACACATCCGATTCTAGCAGCTCCATGGAGTGGAGTACGCACAGGCGAGGCTGGCCATTTGGTTTACCATTCTTCATCGACCCGTCATCCACTTCGGCCAGGAACCAGGATAGCCGAGTGGCTGCCAAGGGAGCATGTGCGTTTACCACGGCGCCACTGTTGGCAGAGTCATCCAAGCCACTGTCGTTGCTGATGTTGCTCATAGTGGCGGATATTTCTTTTGAATATTTGTTCTTAAAATCTTTTAAAATATTATTTTTGTGTTTTTATTTTTAATATATTTTGAAAAGTTTCGTTTAAATAATTTTCAAGTTGTCTGGATAGTTAGATGTGCTGCTGACTGCAATGCTTTTGACAAACTGTTGACTCCTTCTTCGCTGAAAGATATTTTATAGGTTTAACTTAATATACCTGAATTTTTGAGGCCCAACATCTGTCAGGGATTAAACCCTAGTTCAGCTCAAGTTGGGATTATTCTAATTGTGTATTACCTGCGAAGGTTGCTGATTGCGCGGATTTTCCCCAATACGCAGCTGTCACTTAAAGGTGAATTTCAAATTTGAAACAATTGCACAAAATCAACACTTTTACCTGTTTTCTTGTTGCTAATTTGATAAGTGGAAAATAATAAGACGCTTATATTAAATTTAAGTACTTTAATCCTCTTCAGAGATAATTAACTTCAATACCAAAACATTTTGTTTGTAAAAACCAAATATATATTTTAGAAAGTTACATAGAAACTTACTTATGAAAACCAAATTTAAAAATCTGATTTTGAATAGAGGATTGCAATGTCAGCTTAGCTTGTTTGATAAATGTAAAAACTTTTACTTATCACAAGCTATTGCGAGTGTTATGGTGCTCAACGACTTTAGATTCATCTTCTAGAACGTCATTATCCTGGCCAGAAACTATACGAAGGAACAAGCTGGATGTCTGATCCGGATCACTCCCATCCTTAAATGGTAAATGACCATCGCTACCCATGTAAACTAGTTGACCGGTGACTGCTCCTCGACCAAAGCGACCTCTTTTTAGTAGATTATCACGATGACGGGTTCGCTCGGAAAAATCAAACCTGTGAAAGGGTGATTTCCTGGACAATTTGAGGGCGTTGGTCAGGGAGAAGAAGCGCCCAGCTTGTCCAGCGGGAACACCCAAAACTCGAGTGGAAAATTCGATGGCCCTTTCTGTGTCGACTTTCACATCTGGCACAATCTCACCGCCTCGCTCCCGTGGACAAAGGGCATCGAAGCCCAGTGGGCACGCCCTGGGATCATGCTCCCTGCGCCTGTCAAGCTCGCAGAATGTGTGGATGTCCTCAAATAACCCCAGGGCAATGGCTTCATTGATCGCAATACCATTCGCCAGAATACATCCCAGGACATTTCCCGTCGCCATCTCACGGACGTTGATATGGTAGATATTGCCCTCATTACGGAGTATGGTCAGCACCACTTCGCTGAAAGATCTGGAGCCAATCAGGTCGAATAGTTCGCTTAGAAAGGTATCCAGCACGGGTTGTCTGCCATCGCCACAAAATTGGCAACCACATGGTGATTGATCCCCTGGCTGGGTGTTCCCTATAGACAAATTGGAGGCGAATAGATCGCTTACGGTAGATTGCCTATCCAGTTCACATGGTCGCTTATCACGTTTCCCAACATCCAGGTCCATATCCGACATTTTTAGTTCAGATTGTGTTGCAGTGGATTTAACACTGCGCTGGACTTTTGAGCAACTGCATTTTGGCTTCTGTTCGCTTCCCAAAACCGTTTCCCCCTCCGATATCGTCACCTTTTTGGGTCTTTCTTCCTCTATTAGAGCACCTGGTTCCAGGCTTTTGGGCTTGCTAAATAGTTTTACTAGTTCTGTCAACAATCCTTCGAAAGAGTAACTCTCAGTTTCTGAGTTGTGAGCTTGTTTATTCTCACACGTCTTGGATTTTGAAAACAGATTTATGAACTGTTCGATCAATGACTTGTAGACTTCCTTTTCCTCAGTTTGGTTAGATTGTGATAGCTTTGAAATTTTATTTTTATCCAAACAAGATGTGGAAGAAGCCTTTCTGGTACTTATGCCCTCGTCATTCGGTTTTGTTACTCGAACAACGAACTTGTCAAGTACATGGTTAACCCCTTGTTGCTTCGAGTTTTGTTTTGAAGGAATGGAGGAACAGCAAGGAGAAATGGGTTTCTGGATCTTATTGGTTTTACCACAAATCGTTTCCTCACTTTTGGACTTGGCAAAAACACGATTGAATTGTTGCAGAAAATTGTCAGCATCTTCTAAGCACTGTGTGCCAATAGACTTTGGATTCTGTTTTTTAGAATCTCCATCTTTATCATTCTCACAACATTTAGAGAGACCTGATATTGATATACTTCTTCTACAATTTTCATTTTTATCCTTACTGCATTGCGGGGAAATGGGTTTTTTGATATTATTTGGAGAACTCACTTCGCATCCAGCAGTTTTTGGTTCTTTGGTTTGATGCGGCGATTCAGACTTTAAAAAAATTTGAATAAATTCTTTGGATAAAGTCCTGCTGCACTCACAATCATCTTCGTCCTTTTTCTGTGTGGCCTGATCAAAGGTTGCTGGTTTTCTTGGTAACTGGCATTGCTTCGGTTGCGCCTGAAATATAATCTTACATTCGGAGGGTTTACTTTCTCGGGCTTTCCATGATTTTACAGAGCCTTGCAGATCTTTCAGAGATCGCTCTTGTCTCCTTAACTTTGTTTCTAGTTCCTCTACCCTATCGAGAATTTTGGAACAAGTTGAAGGTCCTGAGGCATTAGCATTCGATTGAATTACTTCTGATGTGCGTGGGTTTTCATATTGTGTCTCCTGATCTACTTTTTTCGAGGTAACTATTAACGGATGCGGTGGGTGCTGCGATTTACCTTGATGCACCTTATTTGTAAATTCGGAAGGTATGAGCGAACCCCCGTTTACCACGATAACTGGTCGCCTAAAGAAACATCTTCGCAATGAAGAATTCGATTTTTGAGGTTTTCCATCCTCATATTCAGGACTATCTTTCTTAGGTGGTTCCGATTTAAGAGCACTTTTTCTAGATTCTTCCACAGCAATCATTTCCGTTTGAGTTTGGGAGTTGTTTAGGTGTTTTGTCGAATCTGATACCGATTGTGTTTCTGCATCTTGCATATTTATCACAGATTGGGTGGATGCATCTTGGCTGAACTGGCAATCTAGAAAGTCAGGATCCTTTTGGATTCCCGTTTGAGTAGCCATCTCATGGGTGGAAACGGTTTGGGTCGATTCCGAGATAATGGATAACGGATGATGCTTAAAGGCGGCGGGCACCGAACGTCCCGAAATGGAACGGCAGCTGCAAGCTCCTCCCGCAGGTAGGCGTAGACTATCCAATCCGTTGGTCACCAGATCGGCGGAGGAAGCATCTGCAAAATATAAGGGTAATAAACGGATTAGGCACATATTTTATAAAACTACCTGAAAGCCTTTTCGCGGTGGTATATATAAGCCCACGACTTATTAGTATCAATTCAGTTTACAATTGGAACACCCAGCATAACTATGGTGAGTCAAAAGAATACGAACTTTCAGAAACAAAACCGATCATAAGGAACAGTATTTGGAAATTAAAAATGTGAAAAAATGTAGTTTTTATAAAAAAAATACAAGTAACTTAAGGAGAATAACAAGCTAAAAGAGTATATATATTCTACAATCCTTATGGAAACGTCTAAATATATTTCTGAAAATGTTAAAATAAGACCCTCTTATAAAAATGTTGACCAATTACATTCCCCTACAGATCAATCGTCGCCAGCGTTTGGAATTCGCCCTGACCCTTTTGCCCTACGATCCCGAGACGGTTCAGCTTTCGGAGACGCAGAAAAAGGTGGAGCAGATCATAGCCCGCCTGCGCACAGATGACTCATTCGCGGAGGAGGAGGGCGAGGATGGTAAGATGCGGCGTATCCAGGAAGCCAACGAATTTGCCGATTGTGCCATGCGTCACATTGAAATGTCGGACAATGGTAAGATGAGCACCCTGGAAACCCTGACACTGGCTGCTGAGAAACTACTAAGATCGCAGCGATCGCCGCGAAATGAAGATGAGCCGGATCAGGATTTCGATGACATTGTGCAGGATGTGGAGAACGCGCAGCTGATGAGGAGCACCATCCTGGCGGTCAATGAGGCGCGCATGAAGCTCCTCCAGCAATGGGAGCGCAGCAAGCGCAAGGCCCTGGATCTCCTGACCATCGAGATCGAGAAGGTGCAGGAAATGGACCGGGAGCAGGAGCATGAACAGGAACAGGAGCCAGATCAGGAGCAGGAGGGTTCTGAGCCTTTTGATGTGTTTCGCGATGGCGCCGATGAGCACAACACCTCGACGCCAAGAACGAATGATGAGGACCTTGGTTTGGATGATGACGATGAGGATTATGTGCCCGGTGGAGGCGAGGAACCGGTGTCAAACAAGAGGAAACGTCCCAAGAAGCCAGTGACCTCCACGCCGAATGCGAAGCGTCCGTGTCCTGGCTTTGAATTCGACCAGGACAGCCAGTCGCCGATGGTGATGATCGGTCCTAATGGCACCGAGGTATCCCGCGTCAGCCTGAGCGCCATCAACTGGGACATGACCGGACCCTCGATCACCCGGAAGCTACTATGCGAGATCTTTGACCGGGACACCCTGGCCCACCACACGCTCTCCGGAAAACCATCTCCGGCCTTCAAGGACTGTGCCCGTCCCAGCAAACAGCAGCTGGATCCGCTCAAGGTGGCCGATCTGGTCTACCTGATGACCAACAGCCTGGACATGACTCCCCGGGAAGTGCGCACCGCCATCACCACGAAATGTGCGGATGAGAACAAGATGCTCCGATCGCGAATGCAGCGCAAATCGAAGTAGGGGATTTCCAAGGATCCCCAGGAGATTCTACTTTACAACTACTTAGGGAATTCTTTAGTTTCCAGAGATATTCTTTGAAAAAGAGAACATTTTTAAGGCTCCAGAAAATTTCTCTTAGATTCTTTAAGGAATTTTTAAAGAAAAAAGGATTTTGTAGATGTTTCCTGGGGGTTGTTTTGGAATGACCTTGCTTAATCTCTCATATCATATCATACATTAATCCTTAATAATTTCGTGCCGATACTATAGCAAACTTAGTCACGGCACAGCCGAAAAAAGCCAGTGCACCGATTGAATAAAGTTACCCATTTTCTTACCCAAAAATTTAGTGGATTTGAAGTGAATGCGGGTCAGGGAATCATCGCTTTGCGTCTCCTTGGGAAAGTCCTCGCATCTGGAACATATGTATATTAAGATTGTGGACTTGAAAAACATCTGGAGGACTCTCTCGCATCTTACCTTCCCAATATATGAGTCAGGTTTTTATAAAGCCGCTGATGCACAAATTGCTGAGCAGCTAAACTCTTTTGGAACTGAATATTCGTGGCACTCATTTTTTGTATATAAATTTTACAGATAATTTTGAAAATGTACAGCTGGATTTGATTGTCAAAATTTTGATGTGCTACCACACACTGGCAAGAAAGCGTTTCCGTTTTACTGCGTTCCGTAAACAACGGAATCCAATCTAAAGCATGATAGGAACGCGGAAGTAAAACTAATAAACTTAAAAGATTCCAAAGAGAAAACATTTTAAACTAATAATTTTTTTTGTAAGCGTGTAGTGGCTTTTCAGTTTAAAGTAAAGGTATTAAGTTTTTTATTAGTGAAAAAAGTGATTAAACAAGTAAGATCTCATAATTTGCTACTATCGTGGGGAAAATTTTTTGAAAGCATCGATATATACTTCCATCGAAAATTTGACATCTCTACTTTTCCTTTCCGTTTCGTGTCGTGGTCAGTTTGAGCTTTGCGACTTATTTTGTAAAACAAATAGTACTTGATATAACTTAAAAACAACTTGATAAACAATGGAGGACCAGAAGCCGATCTCTGTAAAGATGGAGTACGATTCCATTCTAGTTGGGGATGAAGACGCCGTGTCCCGGAATCGTGGTGGAATCGAGAGGATGAAACGTGCCGACTTGATCGCTGAGCTTCGCAGGGAGCAGATGCGGACGCAGTCCATGGTCAAGCGCAAGGACGAGCTGAAGGCCGCCTTGCTGCAGTGCAACAAGCGGATGACCGACACCAAGCGCTCTGCGGAGGAGCTGGAGCGAAGGATCCAGTTGCTTATGTGCCACAACCGGGAACTGGCCAGCGAGAAGGATGGTCTGGCCACCGAGAGGGATGGACTGCTGCGGCAGCTTCAAGAGGAGTTAACCAAATGCGAGGCTCTGCGCCAGCAAGTCCTGGAGCAGGACCTGTCGAAGAATACCATCGTAGAGAGTATCCTTCAGGAGAACGCTGCACAAACTGCTAACTTACGCACGGAGATCAGTGACCTCTCCGACCAGCGGGACCTTTTCCACGAGAAACTGCACGAGGTGGGGGGCAAACTTTGCTCGGTGGAGGAGAAGCTGGAGAGGATCCAGGATGAGAACAACTGTTCGATATGTCTCACGCCCTGGGAAGCAGAGGGCTCCCATCGCATGGTGTCCCTGAAGTGCGGCCACCTCTTCGGGGACAGCTGCATCCGGCAGCACTTAAGTCGCGTGGGCGACTGCCCCTACTGCAAGCAGCCAGTTCAGTGTCGGGATATCCGCTACATCTTCGGGTGTCAGACCTTGCGGCCTGCCCATCCTGCTCGTCCAGGTGAGGCTGCTCATCAAGAACAGGATGCTCGTCAGGCACAGGCTGCTCATCAATGCGGAACTGTTCCAGCACATGCTGCTCCTTCAGGTCAGGCTGCTTACCAACCTCGGAATGCTCATCAAGCTCAGGCACAAACTCCTGAACAAGCACTGGCCGCTGATCAAGCACAGGCTGTTCGTCAAGCCCAAGCTGCTATAGCACAGGCCGCCCATCAAGCAGCGGCTGCTGAACAATATAGTGGTGCTCTTCAAGCTCCGGCTGCCCTTCCACCACAACGTTATCCTCAAGCCCATGCTTACCCTCCTCCACATTGTGTTCGACGTGATCGTCAAGCCCAGGCTAACCCTCCTTCAGCCTTCGTCCGGATTCGTCCACCTGAGCCTCAAGCCCATTCTTCACGACATCGTGAGCCTCAAGCCCATTCCTCACGACATCATTGAGGCTCAGCATGCTGTTAACCTTGCCGATCCTGGCTCACTGTCTTACCATTATCGCTACTACGATCGGCCATCCGAGAGGGAACACCGTAATCATGATCATCATTGGTAATAACTTATTTTGTTTATTTAGTTTTCAATTTCAAAATGGTTGGTTATCTTGAATTGTTCGTTGTGTAATCGTTTTTGTGTTCAGAGTAACTGTAGTGTATTTTTACTAATTCCAAAATTTAAATTTTTATTTTTTAATTTAATAAGCTTTAAATTTTTTCTCTTGATTTCATATTTTTAGAATCATTTGAAGTTGCGGCCTTATCAAATAAACATATCCTTTTTAATACAAATGTATACTTCTGATTAACAATCAAAAACTTTAGTTTGAACACTTAAAACATTTGTTAAAATAAATATATCAATAATGAAGACCACGATTAGCAGACTCTATGTATCTATCAACCCAGAAGGGTTGGGGCTTGATATTCTACCCAGACACAATGCATTATTTATCCGCCCTATCAACTAGTCAATACAACATACATGGAAGTTCACAACATTTAAGGTCCATTTTTCACACATGCACCCAAGACGACGAAATTGATGAGAATTTTAGCAGCGCAAGAAATTCGTGTCGGAAAATAAATGAAATAATCAATTTTCGGCTGTCGTTCTGACCAAATCGTGTCAATGTTTTCACCATTTGGTTCTTCTTTGGTATGTATTTTTTTATTTTTTTCCTTCTGATTTACCACATTTTGATATGCAAATGCTTTGGGAAAAGGCAGACTGATTTAAATATATTTATGTGGGATGCCAGCCAGCATACCGATGTAAACATTCCATATATATATGCGTCTATATATAGTTCCAGTAACAGAGGCAAAGTTTTTGGCAGACGGGCCAGTCCCTCCGCAAGGACCACAAAACCGCAAGGACAGGGGCTCAAGTAAACTCTGCTTTTCGAATTTGCGGCGGGGAAATTGTATAAAAATGTGATTCCCCCACGAAGGATGGGAATAGGGATAGGAATAGGCTACCCAAAAGTATAATAAATAAACTCGGTGGCAATTCCTTGGAGCGTTCATCAAAGCAAAATTGATATCAATCATACGCACACAAACGCCCTTACAGTCGTATCTCTCTGTCTATGTGATGGCAAATTGAAACATTATATAAAATATCGGCCTGGCCAGCCCACAAACTACCCACTCGGCAAATTGCCCTTAAAAATAAAACACTGTTAGGGCGAGCCCCAAAAAAAAAAACAAAGATTGTATAGTATTAAATTTAAAGGAATTTTCACCAGCTATTTTTAGTCAAAGTCCGTTTGTTCAGGGCAACAAACTGAAAAGGGGAGGAAAACCTTCAATGGATTTTCTTCCCTTTGTGGCTTCAACTTTGGAGGTGAAGAAACAAAACAAAGGCAGGAAAATGAAAACAAAGCCGCCGCGGCCAGGCGTGACATTGCTGGAAATGTATGCGGCGGAAAATGAAGTCATTATTCCAAGGTAAGTCCCAGCCGAAAAGTGCCCCGCAAACCGAACCGAAAATCAAAGTCACACTCCACAGAGCCCGCAGCCTTGGCGACGCCGTCTACCCTTTCGGAAAACCCCGTAGTTTTTCCCCGGTTTTTCCGCTTTCCCCAACGTGTCAACGGCAGTCGTGCGTCTCCATCACCATCTCCAGCTCCATGCCACAGCCACGCATCGCATCCCTTGGATGTCCTGTTCCTCCGACGATGACTCCACCCAACCGCTGTGTCGCACAATAAAAGAAGCAATAAGAAACACGAGTAACGATGATGCTGGGAGTCAGGATGCCAGGATAGAGACATGAGTATCCTGCCAAACTCTGAAGATGAAAGTCTAATCTAAGGCAAGTCTACAATTTTTGTTTGTTGCTTTACAATATCTATTATAAAAATTTATTCTAATATTTAAAGGTTTTTTTGATATGTTAGATTTCCTGTTTTAAGAATGTCTTGATTTAGTTAGATTATTAATATTAAATTTTATTTAGGGAGCCACATTTCTCCATCACAGGCAAGGTTTGTTTTTTAAATATTTGAATTGATCAGAAAAATAAGTAATATATGGGTGCTATAAAAATGTAATATCATAAAATAGTTTAACATAACTTTTAAGAATTTATGAAAGTCTCTTTAACTACAAAAATGTACCAAATTTTTTTTCCAAAGCTAGCCCTATTTTTTGGTATACCCCTGTAGTATAGGGTATGGGCAAAGGTCACAGGATGAACTCCCCCTGTAGCACCCTCCGCCATGTGCCCTTCGATTTAGCCCAACCCAACCCGGCTGACAATGACATTTACACTTCAGCTGCTACTTTACTTAAATTTCTTGCAGATGATGAATGAGCCAACGCAACGTTGACGCCCGTTGTGCTCGGTTAAGTCAAAGTTTTTCAGCATTTAGCTCATTAAGCTTACAATAGTTATTATAGCCATTGGTTTGAGAGTGATTAAGGATGGAACTTGATAGGGTCTCTTTATGAACCGTAGCTGTAGACAAAGTCGAAAACTCCAACCAGTCAAAATTCAATTTGTACAGCAGCTACAGATTTGGATTTTATCCCACAAAAGCTCAATTAGCCGGTTCCTTATTTTCCTGAAAAGCCGCCAAATGAAAATTTTAATAATGCAAATGCTTTATTGTAGTTACGCTACTCTTGCGGCTTGTTGCATGCATTTAGTAAATGCAGCATATGCACTGGGATTAAACATTTTCAGTAATTTATGGGCCTAAGGTATGATAAGGTTTAACTGGAATTAGTTTGAAAATAACTAATATAAAATCGAATTTTAATTGAAACTAAATTTAAGTAGATCAGAATCAATGTGTATTCCAAATATTTGTTTATTTTACCAACTGGATTCATATTTTATATAGGATTTTCTCAAGGTGTACCTGCTTTTTCACTGCCTTTGGCAATGTGCCATCATCGGCTTGTCGTCCTCAGTTATTTTAGCGTAGTCGGTGCCTGCTCCTTCACACAACAATGCCCCCAAAAACCAACCGACAACGAGCGCCGAGTTAATTGAATTGTGTTTACTCTATGGGACCAAGAGGACACAGGGCTCCGTGTTGTTTCGGGACTCCTTTTTAGGCCCTGCAGCCTCAGAGGAAAGTCATTCCGGACGACTTGCTGCAAGCCAGCGAGTCAACTTTTCCATTTGAATCCATCGCTGAGTGGCTGCTCACTGAAATATCCGTCCAAATGCTCGGGACATGTGTTTCGTTTCCAATCTGAAGAGTAAGCCAAGTCCACAAAGTATAAACTCAATTTGCAAATTTCCGTCCGCAGGCTCATTAAAAGTTTGGGCTCAAAACAAAAGAGATGATGAACTGAGTTTATGCAGGGGAACTTCAGATTCTACAGATTTTTTGTCAAGTTCATTTTAGTTTTATAAATATTCATTAAACTAGACAAGTAAAATATGTATTTAAAATGGTAGTATAGATAATGAACTAAGAAGTTAAACAAAGTTAAGATGCAGTTCAGGTTTTAAAGAATTTTCGCAAGTTCTACATCCCTTAAATATATATCATTCCTGGTAATATTTTATATAAGTTCAATCTTGCGTAAAATATGTGTTCTAAATGTGTAATTTAATAACTAACTCCCAATCAGTACTCCCATTTACTTGCCAAAACTCTTAATTTACAACATCGCACGGCGTGAACCATGTCGAATTGTAACCAAGTTTTGAGTAGACTTTCTGAATAATAAATACGGCAATGCGAGTCCCAACAAAAGCGCAAAGTTAGCCAGCTAATTGTTATGATAATTAGCGTAATTAGCGGGCAGGTAAGCTGCTGTCCTCCCGAATCCGATCAGCTGGCCCGTCTAAAAAGACAATATAATCGCCCACTGGTTTGATAAGGAGAGTTCCCTTCTCTTCCCAAATAATGCTGGTTTCAATTACGGAATTTTATGATGTTTATGGCCACGATTGTAACGCGTTGGCAGTTCGCTAATGCGTCAAGTGGCCGCAGGACATTTCCCCGCCAGGACAAAGTAATTTCGAGCTCGTGCGAAATGCAAAAGTTTCGCCAAGTGCGCATTGCGCCGATAAAAAGTTTCGATTATAATAGAAATTTTAGGATGCCGGCAAAACGGGAAATGAGAAATGGTTGGTTTTAGGGCATGCTACATTTAATTTCAAAAGCCAAGAGGGAATTGTTTGAAATTGTTATTTAACAGCATTGAGATGCGGGTATAAGACAAAAATCTCTTGAAATTCGAGCCCAACAAATTTAGATTTAAACGGAGACAAGATGCAGGCAGAACAAAATAAAGGGGTATTATTAAAATACTTTTATTTTATTGCTTTATAATATTAGGATTTTTTTTGAAGATTAAATAACTTTTGCCAGTTAAAATCACTCATACGCCACGTGTTCGCTAACAGGGCATACCAAACACAGCTGTTTCATTCCACTCAATTTCCGCTGCCAACAACAGAGCCAAGTTAACATCACTCAAGGCCTTTGCAGATGGATTCCTTAATGTCTGAAACGTCTTTACCGTCTTTGACTTTATGTGTCAAACAAACGCTTTATATTATGACTGCATTGTTTGAGCACAAAGTATATTTGCCGCTTGTCTGTGTCTGCAAATGGAACGTGTTCATTAAGTTGACTACTCTTTTATCCACAGCGAGGAACAATAAAAAATAGTTGGGAATACTTTGTGGACCTTTGATTTATGGCAAAACAATTGCGTTGAGCCACCAACAATTTGCTCGCTGTAAATTAAAGCTCAATGGCATTTGGATTGCCGGGTCTCCAAGGAGTTGGGTTTTCCCTTCTAAAGGAGACACTACGTATAGCATGGAGGGAACCCATTAAAGACAGCGCTACTCAGCATAATGACAAAACTTTTACCCGTGCAGGGACAAAGTTTGGGCAATCATTTTAATTTTTACGATCTTCCAATGAAGGCACAAAAACTAAACTGGATAGTATATCATACAGAGGAAAATATCGGTGATCAATATTTTTAAAATTTAAAAAATAAAATAATGGAAATATATTAGAACTAGAATCTATTAAGATTATTGAAACATTCTAGATAATCCACATACTAAAAAGATTTATTTTGTTTAGTACTTAAACGCTTTTTAGTTTTTTCTCTGTACAATTCTGGGATGCTCCTTCTTTAACAGATCCTTTCTGTTCTTCCTCTTCCCGCTGATTGTCCTTGTTTTTCTGTGTGTGTGTAAATAACATTTAGAGACTTACTTTTAATGCCGCCCTGACAGGTTTATTGCTGTGTGTGTGAGTGTGTTCAATAGCCTGGGACACCGCATGATTATGCGAAAATTACGCATACGCCGCATATGCCACGTGCGATTGCTCACATTT